ATTTTGTGAATCAGAATCACATAATAATTTAAAGTATTCTGTAACAATTTCAGTTGCATATTCTCAGCAAAAGTTTATAGACAGAATCTCACAGAATTTATTTACATTCTGACTTCTCTGGTTTTGTTTTTTGAAACATTTTTTCTAGCTAATATTTTAGCGTATAGATAATGTTTAGGAGCATTTTAGACACAATATGTCACGAACACTTTGCCTTTTGAAATAAGATAGCCACTTTTTCAAATAAGAATATGCATTTTTTCTTGATTGCTCTTTCCTAATATGGAATCAACAATATTTATGCAATTCTGAAAAACATATGTTAATTTATTTTAAAAGATGCACAAACCTTACTTATCTTTATTTTTTGGGAAGATATTAATGATGCTGCATTTAATAAAATATTAGATATATTATTTTTAAGTATTACCTATAAATTATATTTATTTATTTATTTCCTTTGACTTCAAAGAAAGGGTTTCTTAATTTTATATCTCTTCTTCTGTTTTTATTTTAAAAAAAATTCTGAGAACTCACATAAGGAGATTTCATTAGCAAAGATAAGCACTTTAAATTAAAGCCTTTTTAATTATATTACATCTTTCATATTTTAAAATTGCTAGAAACAAAGATTCCACAAACAAGAAAAGTATTGTCACATAGTTTAGTTATCTTTAACGATTCTAGTGTTAGCAAGCTGATTTTAACTCATATAAAACTAAGAAGTGGAATACAGTCTCAGTGACAGAAAACTCACCAAAAACGGAATTTTGTTTCAAATTTCATAATTCACACGCCTAGATACAGGAAACTATATCATCTAGATTTCGTGGTATATATAACCTTATATTAATTGTATTTATAAGTAAAATAATTTCATTTATGTGCTAATGACCCAGATTTCATAATAATCTTTCAATTCGAGCTTATTTTCATTGGCTATGATGTCATTACGAATGCACTTGAAATAGCCCTAGACGTTCTTTCCAGTTTCTTAAATCCTCATAAAATTTTATTAATTCTGTTTCTGTTAATTTTATTCAAGTGTAAAATATGTAGATCCTGATATTCATTCTCGACATTTGAGTTTTCTATTTCAGCATTAATTACTTCTTCATATAATCTTGAGAAACTACATTTCGCCTTTTCTTCTTTTCCTCCGCTAAATTTTCATTTTTCAAAATTTCGTTTACGTAAGAAGAATTTAAAACTTTAAGCTTGTTATCCTAATTAACATTTTCATCATTTATTTAGAACATTAATCTAATTAACATTTATCTTCATTCATTTAATTAATTCTTTTGGAAATCAAGTGCTATATGATTTGTATCGATTGATGATAGTTTTTGAAGAGCTTTCAGTTCCTTGCATTCATATCTTCTTTAAAATTTCCAATAATTTTGTGACACATTTGTTCAATAATCTTACTCAGATTACGATTAAAATAAATAAATAAAAAAGACATATGCCTGTAACAGATTTAGCAATCTACAAAAGCAAAAATACAAAAAAGGCAAGGACAATGATCTGATAGAAGTTAAACCCCAAATTTTATGACTTTCGCTAAGTCATAAAATTTAATTTATGTGTAAATAAATGTATTCTTAGTGTTCAACTAAAATATTTTTATCAAATCGAAAAATAAGATTTCAACGTATGAATATTAAAACATAATGAAATAATGCTAACTTCTTACTAAAAATAAAATGCAAATGAAATATGTCATTAACATAGTTTTATGGTAATGGAAACTTAATAAGAAGGGGAATGCGGACATTTTCCTCAAGGTGTAATACAAAATTGTAAGCAATTTAATCCTTCCTTAGTACTTTGCCTTTGGCACAACAGAAAGCGCTTCCAACTAGAAATCAAGATGTTTGGAATTCGATCTCAGCACGGTAAAACTAACTGTTCATGTTTCCTGCTTCAAAATAATCCTAATGACTCTAGATATAGCGTTCGAACTAAATTGTTGTGGAAAGGTATTCGTTCCCACCTAGATCTGTCAAATAGGTCCAATTCTTCCCATTGCCTTTTAAGTAATGGAGAATATTAGGAATTTTTTCTTCTTTAGCATGTGTTTTTGCGGTACATTTAGAAGCACATCTGGCTTGCAATCGGGAGATTCAAACCCTGGCGAAAGCACTGTTGATTTTTTAATTTCTTGCTTCGAAATAAACCTAATGACTTTACAAAATGCATGATTTCAATCTCTTCTGCATTGGTTTTATTTAGAACATAGTTGTTACTGTTATTTTGTTTTATATTATTTGTTTATTGAAATTAGATAAAATGCAAAAGGAAGAAGTCTCAGTCTTAACATTTATCATTGCCATTTCTCAATTATTTTAAGAACTATTTGGTAATTTTACTGCTTTGTTATAATCGAAAAAAATATGCAATTCAGACCTTAAATATATATTTTGTTTCCAATTTTTTTAAAACTCTGTAAATTAGAACTTAACTTTGATGCGTTTTTTCATTTAAGTTAGAACGGTAAATATCTGTTTGTATAATACAATAGGAATTTAAATATTCATGTACTCTTTCCATTAGATACATTTTATGACAACTATGTTCAAGAACCAAACATCAGAGATGGAAAAGTCTCAAACTTACTAATGCAATAGAACATCTTTCAATGTTTAACTAACTTATCAGCCGAAGCACCAAGAGCAACCATAATTGCTTACAAACTACAATGGACTCTTCTCGTCATCAAGGCTACAAGGGACTGCGTTGCAATTGTACTGGAATTATAAACGTTCATGTATTCCCCTCATCAGATTCCATCAGATGGTTACAACCTTCATCTTTTCCGGCAACTGTCTGGTCATAAAGAACATAACAATCAGTATCCCAAAATTTGAAACCGTAAATTGTAAGACCTGACACGCGGACTATCTTTTAAGTCAGTGACATCGTACAAAACTGGAAATTCATGGAAAAGATAGCAGCCTATCTGATTACAAGTACATCACCTACAGCATTTTAAATTCAACGACAACATCTAAAGTCAAATACTTCAAACTTCCCATAGACAAAGTCAAGAAGTCCAATTGGCTTCCCAACAACTGTTCGGAGAAAAAGAAGTATATCTAGATTAACAAAGTACAGTGGAAGCGCTGGATTCATGCAAAATATCTCTTCCATCCAAATACGCAATATATGCCGACAACATCCTTCCTTTCCTTAGAGAATCTAAAAATCTCCTACTATAATCTAGTGAAACAAAAATATCCGAATTCAATAACACAAATGCAAGGCCATAAGATGAAAACTAAAAAGGGCGACAGAGGATGCTATACGTCAACTCCTTCTACAAATAGTAAGGGAAGAAAGGGCCATTTACAAACCCACGCTTGTTAGAGATAAGATACAAAGCTGGAACGATTTTTGTACCCAGATTTCAAAAGAATATAGTACTTTGCATAAAATAGCAACTAACAAAACATATAAACATGCCCCTTCCACTTGCAACCTGAACAAACGACAAACAATAGTGCAGAACACATGCTTAATATAATACTGGATTGCGACATATTGGATTGCCATTGCAACATTCCATGAGGATGGACACAAGAAGCCAACAACTCGTGTGATGACCCACCTTTCACAGCAGAAAGAAATTCGTCATGTCTTCTAATAACTGCCTATGAGAAAATATCCAGGCTCAGATGGGATCAACAACGTGATAATTAAAAATCTACCACAGCAGATCACAATACTTCCTGAAATTTGTCAAAAAGCTACTGCATTATAAAAATCAACCCCAGTAGTTTCAAAATAGGCCAACTTGTTCTTTTTTCGAACGCTATAAAGATCCACAAAATTCTGACTCTTACCATCTCATCTGCTTTTTATCTGCGCTAGAAAAAGTGTACGAAAAATTAATAATTAGTAAATTATCTCACCACTCACAAAAGTCTCAATACTTGAGTGATAGACAGCCGAGAAATCATCGAGCAGGAAAATCATCAACCTAAATGCCTTCGTGGATCTAAAATAAAATATTTAGGCCAGCAAGCTAAACGAATATCACCGCATTCGACATAATCTGGTAGTCTGCGATTCTGCATGCCTGGGATACACAAAATGATCCAGAACGTCTATTCCATTTTCGAAAATTAAATGAGGAGTAGACAACACCTAATAATAGCACTGGTCCCATTAGTACAATTGAGAATAGAGTTTAAACACAAGGTTCATGTGCTGAACCTATCTTATGGAACCTGACTTTCAATACCATCATTAACCCTTTCCTAAAAGTATATCCTAAAAGTTGGTTTCACTGCAGGTCTGAAGATAATCGTGTGTGGCAAATAAGCTGTGTCTGGGTGCCCCTTTTCCCTAGTGAGTTCTCCTGTATTTTAAAGAAGCAGCATGGAACAGCATTACGTATAAAAATATAATTTATTCCTCATACAGAACGTAATTCGAGCCAAAGCGCTGTAGCAGCTTATCTCCCCCAGTGGACTTTCCAGAAGAGACTGCTGACAGCAGACAGACGTTTGTGGTGTAAAAACATACACATCATGTATGCCTATTGTTAACCCTTTCAGGACGGGCGTCCTATATACACATTCCCTAAGAACGTCTCTTACAGACTGGCGCATTCAGAGGACGGGTGATGCGTATATGCATTTTAAGGTGGAACGTTTTTCTGAAGGCCACTAGATGGCCTCCTGTGTCCATTACTTTTGAAATGAACACAGTTTTAGGTTCCTGACGTTGAGTTTGATATATTCTACTTGTGTTTGGTATTTTACTCATCAGCTGTACGAGGGGGGGGGGGCTGAGGGAAAGCTTAAACAGAGGTGGGCTCTTTAAATCGCTGCGTGCTAATGAAAACATTCTCGTATTTGATTTATATCCAATTCCTTTTTTTATTCTATTTTTCCCTCTACTATTTACGGTCTTTTAGTGTTACTGTGCGGAGTTTTTTTACGTTTTGCATTGCCTTCAGATATATATTTCCGTTTCTTCTTTTTTTTATTTAGGAAAGCCTCATCTCCAGTCTATTATGACGGGAAGGTGCTATTTATCAGAAGAAGAATATCCTAGTATGGTTAGTGAACCATTTACTAACGCAAATTAGAGTACTGATTCATTTTCTAAAGAGTTAAAAAGTGATACCTTTTCTAAGAGTTACAAAGTGATACTTCTCTGTGCTTCGAGATTTACCACGCTCGTTTTCATTTTAAATTTTGTTAGTTCTTACTGTAAATAGTCTTTATTGTGTTCTTTTTAATAATTTTAAACTTTATTGATGGATTTTATCAATTAAAACTTTGGAATAATTTGAATAGCGCTTTCGAAAATTATTTTAGAAGATAAGCAATTTTTTAAGTATATTTTCATGTAAAATAAAGAAAAAAATGTTTTAAGGGCTAATTTTAACATATATAAGAGCTCAAGTAATAATCTAAAATGATACCAAAAATTACGATGCTAGAAGCGAAACTTTTGTTTTTCTGATTTTTGTTATAAAATTAGGCTTAGCGATGCAAAACCTCCGTCCTGTACGGTGACTGCCTTCGATTCTCTTCCGTCCCGCACGAGCGTCTTAAACAAAGGTGCGCCGTCGCGAAAAGGTTAATGCAGAATGGTTTAGCCATGGTGTTTTGCAATACAAGTATACATTTGCAACAACAGTCTACTATTTCCAGTACAAAGTGTCCGACCAGGCCAAGCCTTTGTTCAGTACACTTGTAAGGTATATTTTGATTTTATAAGAGTTATTTTAATTTTAAATCCTTTCCTATAAATTCTTGTTCCCTTGTACAGCTTCCTACCAGAATGAGTTTTTAGAATCGCATTTAATGCAAATGAATTAAAAGAAATATTTAAAGAAGGTTCAACTTTCTTCGATAGAGAGTGCTAGGAGTCCTTAGTAGCACTTACTTTCCTTCTGGCTAAGTCACTCTTGAAGCTGTAGCGCTCGGCCGTATTATACGTGCTATTGATATTCGCCGGCTAGTTTAAATTAAGGGTCAACTACATTAGATAACTGTGTTTAGCTCGGCTAAGTTTCATTTAGTTAATTATAGTTTCTTATTTCTTATTCTGAGTTAAAGCCCGAGTAGAGGCTTCCTTTAAGCCCGAGTGTTATTCTTATTCGAGTGAATAAAGGGTAATTTAACCCTTCTCGAGTCTACGTCTTAGTTGTTCTGAACTCAGTGATAAGTAGCTACATAGTTCACGATGTTCCTCGGCGTTCATCTTAGACAAAAGAAGTATTTATAAAGTATTTTCTTCCTCTTCGTAGTGTAGCTGGAATCACACTTGATGAGTATTCAGGAGCTCCGGAGTTCGAATCCCGGTGAGAGCAGTGCACATTTTTCCCGTCTCCAGCATAAAACAAACCTAATGACTTTACAGCGTGCCCGAAATAAGAGATGGGAAGGGTAATTTTTTAGCACCAGGATTTGGCGACTGAGACTTCTAAATCCCAGTTGCTCTTTAAAAGGGGGACTATCGCTAAAGTATTTTCTTCCACATTTACGCATGCCTTCGTCGTGTAACCGGAAGCACACTCGAAGCGTATTCGGGAGATCCGGATTTCGAATCCTAGCCAGAACATTGCACATTTTTCACGTATCCAGCATAAAAAAAAACTAGTGAATCTGCATAATGATGAACAAGAATTTCACACATGAAAAGCAGAACTTTCATCCAATATCATTCACCTAACAAGAATAATATTTTCCAAGCAGAAGCGCACTCACTAGCCATGGCAATAACTCATGCGACAAACAATACACACTACCCAATACAACAGTTTCTACAACCTCTCAGTGCTACATGTCATCCTAAACCGTCCACATTTCTCATATCATTAGTAATATTCAAAGCGACTTACGGCTCTTCAGGTACCTTCATTTCCATCTCTATTAGATAAATTTACAAATAAGAGGAATGAGAGAGAAGATTCACCGGCAAGGGAAGCAGTTCTCAACGCAAGAGTGAATTCGCAGCATCTGCCCCTACCATACTCTCACCTCAAAAGATTTGTCAATAATTTGGCTAAAGCAAAATGGCAAGGCGAATGCGATCACGTACTATACGGACTTCGTATGTATTATTTCCCAAAATCAGCAACAAAATGTGTACTTAATACTTCTCAGCTAGCACACTTTATTACAAATCAGGGCACGTTTTCAACCTGTCTTCATAAACGAAGCCTAAGCAATATGAACCAGTGCATCTGCGGTATCATGGAAATTCCGAACATTACGTGACGAGCTATCCACTTATATCCACCCACCTTTTGTCAAATTTCCGGACAAAAAATATTACAGAATGCTGCACAAACACTGTATCATAAAAAAGGGCACTCGTTAAAAAACCTAAGGCTATCGTGGATATCCTGGCAGCATACGAGCTGGATTTGTGTTAAGTCACTTAATTTCTCCTGTTGGGCTGTCGCACGGTACATTCCCACAGAAATGCAGTTTTTTTTTATTTTTTATAAATACATAATTTTTTGTTTTAACATTACTCCCATTATCACGCCTTTTCATTCCTTTCCAAACCACAGTATGAAACACAGTTAGCGCAGTTAGAAGTAAACAGTTTTGATAGTTAGGCAGAAGTGTAGGACTATACCTATCTATATATGACAGCAAATGATATAACAACAAAGTGAAATATGACAGCAAAGTACTGGTATCCCCGTGTTCCGTTACCTGTTACTCATGGTTCTGTAACTATTATAACAATTTTTATTGTAATAAAATTATTAGGTAGTTGTTGAATTACATACTTAAATTCTTTTTTAAAGTAAAATAATTTAAATAAAAGCTGTATTTTTTTTTTTTTTTTTTTTTTTAAAGTCACTTTCTCCAAAAATTTTGGGTATCAAATGTCAACGAAAATATTCATTTCAACAACTCTCGAAACCATTTGAAGGATGTTCTCGCGTGACATATATACCATCTATACGTACGGACAGAATAAATTACAGTTTTTGCCAGAAAGGATTGTAAAATAGATTTAAACTGGATTCCGAAGAGTTTTTTTTTTATCCGCCTAGAAGGTATAGTTGTTACAACGGTATCGAAGGTTCCGGTTTGGAATCCCGGAGACGGCAAGGATGTTCGTAAATGTATAGTGTCCGTGCGGCACGCGGCGAGCCGAAAGTCCTCTCGAGAAGATTGTGTTAGGAAAAGAGTGGTGGGAGAGCCTCGGACCCGTTTCCCCGGGGTACTGTCCATCAAAATTGGGAGAGGAACAGAATGAAGTCGTACTGTCACACATAAGGCTGCTCAAAGCTCTTGCCAGTTAGGCCGCAATCTTGCACTTGTTGCCACGATGAATTTCGTGGGCTTGTTCTAAAGGGTATCATGTGGTGTCCACATGAGAATTTTAATCCAGAAAGATGTTTATAAGTTATGAATTGAAATCTTCGGAGAATTTCAGTAACTGAACTAAATATTAATGCCGCTGCACTTTGTCTGCTGCTAATTCAAGTGAGATTGTTTCTGAATTTTTAAATCTCTTTCGTAGAATTTAAGGATAAATATACGTATAGGAAAAAAAAAATAAAAGACTGGATACTGATGTATAATGTATTTACAAATGCAATATTTAACATAAGTTCATTAATTTGTTTAAAAGTAATTTTGTCCTTCATTATGCTAATTTCGATAAAATATCTTTCATAGGATTAGTTACATGAAGGCAAAATAAGCTAGAACTACCAAACGAAGGGAAATGTTGATGCATTCGTAGAAAATGTCCTAGGAAAACGGCCTCTTAGGCAACTAACCCATTTTCCGGAATTTGGATCCACAACGAATTTTCAATGCTCAGTAGTTTTTACCACTCAGACATTAAAGGTCATGATACCTTTTCTGCACAGATTTATATCTTTTCTCAAACACTTTAGTGTCACTTGTTGGTCTTAGAGGTTCACTTGATGAGGGTGTCTCAGTCACTCCACTCATGGTGAGTTCCTGCTTGAAGAAGAATTAAAGTTTTCTGTCCTGCTGTTTGATTGCAAATTTCTGTTTGAATAATAATAAAAAAAAATTAAAAAACAATCTGAAAGGTTTCAGATTTTAAATTACGTCCAAAGGGGCGTTTTTTTTTTAACATTTTGTGTGTTACCTTTATTTATTAAATGTCATGTTCTTCGCACTTAAACCATAAATTTCAGTTCAATAGCAATGTCGCAAAATAATTTTAAAACGAGCCTATCTTTAGAATTTCCGATACACAGTTCCGCAAGCTGGAGATAGAAAGGTTTCCCCCCCCCCGTAGAGTGTTGCCATTGCTTGCTTTTAAATTGTTGAGTTTGTTACTCAAAAATTCATTAAAGTTTTACAAAATATGAAATCGATAATAAAACAAATTTCAAATTTTAAATTTGGGCTTCCAGATGTCCATATTCGCAGTAGGATTACGTCATTTAAATTGGATGGCTCTAGGTACCGTGTTTTATCACAATACGAGAACCATACATACATTTATGCAGATTTTCCATTATTTAATTTCTTCGAATATGATACAGAGCTTTAATATTTGGTGGCAACAATTGGAAAAGTGAAACGGACATTCAGAGTGATTCGACGCAAAATCGCAAAACGAAAACAGTAGTCCCTCAGGGACAAAGCCCTTTTGGACTAATAAAAAGGAATTTAGATGGTGTTTTTTATAAATTTGCGGGCTACGTTTTAGTTCATTATCTCGCTGAAAATATAATGAAAACTTCAAAGTAGTTATAAAAAATTGTATAGCGCTTGTAAAGGAATAATTTTAGCCGACTGTATTTAGCTAGAAATTAAAAAACTCTTGCTGTAAATTTGGATTTAAGTTGACAATTTCTCTACAACATTTGTACTGTCTGATATTGAATTCTGAGTTACGGACATGGAGGAAAGATTTTTTGCATGCCCTTTTTAGAAAATTAAATCATTTACAAAATTGCGATTTAAAAAGCATTTTACTGCAGGATACATAAATAGAAACGAGTGAGTGTGTATGAAATAAAACACACGCTTGTTTAATTTACTAGAAGATCACGGGCTCCATAAAAATTTCTGTAAGCAGAAAATGATCTAGGTATGTTAACAGCTGGCTATATTTTATTCATTGGTATGTAGGAAAAAGAAAGCACCAGAAGCAAGGTAATAAAATTCTCTGAAAAATGGTAGTTTCCTCACGTTTTCCACACAAACGCTCTTTTGTCATCTATAAAACCTGCCGAAATGTTTTCATGTCTTCAGTTGCTTCTTGTTAATGCTCTTGATGCACGAAAAAGAAGCAGGACAGCCATCAGCTGTGCAATCAGATAAGCTGAGTCACATATGCTGAGCTCGTGCAACGGTATTTTTAACGGAAGAATTTGTGAATAATGATTATGAGCAATAAATATTAATTTCAATTGTTGATATAAAAGTTTTCTACCGGAAAGTAGATATAATTACTTACAACTAACGGATGTGCATAAAATAAATATATTTTTATATTAATAGTTATTATAATTTTGTATGGCTTTTCATAAAAAAAGTCGCAATTAAATAGAATTTTTGGAATTTAAGATTTACTACTATGAAGTGCAATCAACAGTCTATTAATAAATTTCGGCTAAGTTTCAAAGAGACATAACTTCCAGAAAACCACTATTCTATTTTTGATTGATTATTTCAAATAATCAATCAAAGTTTATTTATAAAAAAAAGTCCTACAACAGCCGAGCGAAAATTTTCAGATTTGCATATTCGGTATCTCCATTTTTTTGTCAATCACGAACATCTCAACCAACAAGATTTCATTTGTATAGTAGCAGTTTACTTTATAACTACTTAATTCAAAGCACTGTGCGATTTAAATCCGGATACTTCAACGTAGAAAATTTTCTCGAAACTGAAGTTCCTAATCTGATAAAATTTGGGTTTCGTCAGGCCTTATTGCTGACCTAAGTGTAGAAAAACATTAAAAACCTATTCTATAGATTAGTTTTTAGCTTGTTGGCCAACTTTTCTTGTTTTTTTAGCTTGGTAGCCAACTTCTCCATTTTCACTAAGAAGTTTTGAATGGATTTAAGACGTTTAGTCATCATTATTTATTCACATATGCCTCTTTAATGCAAAAATGTAGCTATATTTATTTTTACTAGTAGCTTTTTCTGGGAAGTCTTTTCTGTTCGCGGAATTCTTCGTCTTTGTAACCGAAACTTCAAACCTTATATTTTTGGAGATTTCCTTGACACTTTATGCAGTTCTTATTCATGACATAGTCATTCATGACATAGAATAAGTTTAGTTACAATGATCGGTTTTAAGAATGCAAGAACAAAATGCGAACTAAGCATACAATCTGCGCATTGCGAAATAATATCTAACAGACAGGCAGAGAGCTCTGGTGGCCGAAACATTCCGCCCGGCGTTGAAACATCGTTTCAAACTAAATAGCTTTTACAAAATGAAATTATCATAACAATATTAAATTATGCAAAAATGTATCATCAAAATATTCACAAGAAAACATAATATGAAATTATGCAATGAAACTAAATTGTTCTCAAAACAGATGCACAGAAGCCTTGATACAATTCAGGAACTTATAGTTAGCTAAAGCAAAGTACAAAGTTATAATGCTTTAGAAAAAAAAAACTTTAATCATTGATAGGCAAAACACTAAGTTTGTGAATTGGCCTTTTGAAAACTCCGGTAGCAGTTTTGATCTTCACGATACGCACAATATTATCTGAGCTTAGGAAAAACTTCCTGGTTTTCACTCTTCGAGACACAAAGCGCTTTCAAAGCGGCAATAAATGATTCTGATGTAAGATTACCTACTAATTCAATATGTATAGCTCTTGTAGTAAAACACACGAATACACAAATGTAGCATTTCATTGGTTTTACTCCTCGACCTTGCCTGGGCTTCACTTGAAATGGCCCGGCGTAGTCAATTCCAACTTTGGAGAAAACCTTTGACGGAACGACTCTAGACGATGGTAAATCAGACATTATCTGGGTAGATGTTTTAGCTCGTACACGATGACATTTCACACATTTCCAAATCTGTTGTCTTACAACTGACCTAGCGTGGATTATCCAATATTCTCTTCTAATTACTGATAGCAATAGCAGGGGGCCTGCATGAAGATGGGATTCATGAAAATGATTCACTATAATCTGTGTTATGTGATGTTTCTTGGGCAACAAAATAGGATATTTTCTGTCCTGCGCGATGTTGGATTGTCTTAATCTTCCTCCAACGCGTATAAGTCCATTCTCATCGATAAAAGGGTTCAAAGAAAGGATCTTACTATTTGAGTTTAACGGTTGGTTCTTCTTCAGAAGATTATATTCATTAAAAAGCTCATCCCTTTGAACTACTCTAACAAATGTATTTCTAGCGTATTGCAATTCTTCGGTTTTAAGGTAACCTTAATCCTTGTTGTGGTAGATTTAGCTGAATTATTCGCAAACCGAAAACATCATGCGATGATTCTTTTAAGTTTCAAAATGATGAAACTTCATTAAGGCCTGGAATTTGCGAAGCGACTGTTCCAATTGAACAAGAAATATTTTTCCGTTGTTCCCTTAAAGACTCTTCTGAAAATGGTAAGTTGATAGAGAACGGAATATTATTTGAATTAAGCC